CTCTGGCCCTGGCTGGGTAGCTCAGTTGGTTAAAGCATCGATCCAGTATGCCAAGTTTGTGGGTTTGATAATACAATGCACATATGAATGGCACATGCAAGAATCAATCAATGAATGCATAAATACGTGGAACAATCGATATTTCTCTGTCTGTCTCTCTCGATGGCAAATCAATAATAATGAAAACACTCTGGATCATTTCAGTTCTATGAACTATCATGATGGAAACAGACCTTCCCATGGAGAGGATTCTCTCAGTTCTGTCTGGACTATCTTGCCTTGGAGCCCAGGGAAGAAAGGAAATGCTGATTGTCTGTAGGCGTTATTTTAAGAAGCAAAACAGCATTTATCAACTACCCTCCTGAGACCTGCCTGAAACAGAGCCAAGGGACTTGCCGGTATACTAATAGCTGATACTAAGGTGGCTCACCTGCGTGTCTTTGCTCCGCCTGGGAATGCTCTAAGACTTTACAAATAATGACTCACATTTTTCCAATAACCATTGAACTGTGTACCATTTGTATCTGTAAACACAGGGCCAGGTCGATTGTCCTCCTGTGCTCCTGGCACTGATGGCTCAAGTCTTGGTGTGTCCCATGGCGGGGACACAGGACAACCAGCCACTCAACCGCACAGCAAACCCCAGTTTCACTCCATTTGGTTTTCTTGTTGATTTTGATGAAAAAACTATGACTCAGATTTCACACAAATTTCCCCCTGATTTAATGTACTTCTGACAGTTCTATCAGCTTTGGAGTTCCATTTATTTCCTTCCTGCAGCCATCACATTTTTATATGAGGAGAAAGAGGAAGAGAGGAACTTGAAAATCTGATTCTGATGCCTGGCCTTGAGCAGGACATCCCAAAGCTGTCCCTCCCCCAGGTGGGGCACCCAGGTCTGGGGCTCAGGCCCAGCTCTGTCCAGCCCCTCCCACTCCTGCTCACTACCTGCTGCCAGGCACTTTGCTTCCTGCACCGGAGGCTCCTTGAAGGCTGTAGGTACCATTACATCTGTCCTGCATTAGGAAGAAGACACAGGTGCAGATGAAGAAGAGAAGGAAGAAGAAACAAAAAGCTTCCATAGCCCTGACTGTGTGGCGCAGGTCTGTGCACTGAAGGGTGAAGGGTTTGATTCTCAGTCAAGGGCATGAATCTGGGTTGCAGGGTTCATCCCCGAACCTGGTCAGGGCACATGTGGGAGAGAACAATTGATGCATCTCACACATCAGTGTTTGTCTCCCTCTCCCTCTTCCTCCCTCCCTCCCTTCCACTCTCTCTAAAAATCAATGGGAAAAAATATCCTCCGTTGAGGATTAATAAAACAATCAATCAATCAAACAAACAAACACAAAAGCTTCCTCAAAAACCAATCAATCCCAAAGGAATCTAAATGTAAAACCTAAAGGAGAACTATAAACGTGGGGGAAGAAATGTTAAAACTCATGTTGAGTTGCAGAAACATAGCTAATCAAGACACAAATCCCAGAAGCCATAAAGGGAAACTGACTGATTTGACTTCTTAACAATTAAAGACGGTAAAGGCGACCATCAGCCAAGGCAGACCGGGGCACTGTGTGCAGTAGGTACATGAACCACAGGTGACTCGCTGTCCATACCACACAGGAGCCTACGGATCAACATGGAGAGACTGGACCCGAATTCTTAAACATGGGGAGACACAGGAACAAATCATTCCCAGGGAAGGGTCTTGCCCAGCGTCAGGCAGCTCCTGGGGCAGAGGAGAGGCCACACCTCCTGGTGCTGGAGGCTAAGGAGGGATGTGCGTGAATAAGGCAACAGCTCCCAGGTGTGTCTCTGCTGTACAGACACAGGGATCTGGGCTCAGTCTCCTCCAGCTCAGACACACAGGACCACCTCCTGCGTAGCCCATCCCCCCACGGCTATGAGCGAGGCCGGCCAAGAGCAGGGAGGCAGAGCCCACCCACCTCCTGCTCAGCGTCTCAATGTGGCACCCGGGCTAGTCATTCCCCTCTCAGGGCCTCAGTTTTCCACAAGGCCCCGCACTAAGCTGAAAGGGTGAGTGAAATAATGTCATGATTTGAAATCTCAAAGGAAATCCTTTGTCCCATCAGCCTCAGGGCAGCCAGGCCGCAAGGAACAGAGGCTTTTACTCACCTACCGTCCCCCAACTTTTCTGCTTCCCCCGGCACCCCTCTTCCTTTGGGGTCACTGGCTCCTGTGTCAGGGAGTCCAGGTCTCAGCTGAGCTGGAGGGAGGATGTGAACCCACCTGAGCAGTGTCCCCCTCCCTCTCCACTGTTTAGGGGCACTGGGGTGGGGAGGAACGTCAGACAAAACTGGGTTCCAATCCGGGCTCTGTCACTGCTTACATGTGCCCTTGGGCCCATTTACACACTCCTCAGGCTTTGGTTTCCCTCATCTATACAATAGTGACAATATCCTTGTCTTAGAAAGTGTGAGGATGAGATGATGGGGGAGGGGCTCTTACCCTCCCAACTTACCTAGAATCTCCCTCTGGAAGATTAAAGACAAGACCCACTCGTTCTTAGCTGTGCACATCCACTCGCCAGCTGTGTCTGCACAAACACCTCTGGGTCCAAGGTACCTGGAAAGCAAAACCGAAAGCAAATGCCCAGGTTCTGAGAAGCTCAGGGTCAATCACATTACCCAACCTGCACTGCGCCAGGTAAGCCCCGCCCTGCCTGCTAACGCCCTACCCCAGATCTGACCTCCCAGGTCCTTCTCCCCTCAGCCCATTCTGTCTGCCTCAGGTTTCTAGAAGGAAGACCTGCCACAGAAAGAGAGTGGGATCCCGGGTAAGTTTCTCCCTCCACCCCACAGGCTTGTCCCCGGAACCCTCCTCTCTCCTCCTCCCCCACACGGCCCCAAATGCCCCCCTTCATCACCCTTCTGTCCCCAGCAATGAGCACATCCCTGAGCACAGCAGATGCTCACTGCCTCCTTGCATTGCCTTTGTCCCTGCTCCTACTGAAGGCCCCGCCCAGGCCGTTTCCAGACATTTGCTTTTGTAGGTCCTTCTGCCAGGAGCACCTGCTTCTCCACCTGGAACAACATGCTCACCCTTCAAAGCCCAACTCTGGGATCACCTCTTCTGAGAAGCCCTCCGGCATATCCCCGTCCCAGAGGCCACTGTCCCCTGCACGCTCTGCTCCCCTGACCCCTGGAGGAGACCCAAGGCCACTGTGTCCGCGTCTCCCCTGACCCTTTAGATCAGGCCTCTCTGAACCTGTCCCTGGTGGCAGGGTCAGTGCCTCGGAATCACGGCGACCTGTCCGAGGAGGCCCTCCCTGGTGGTCATGGCCGTCTGTGGGAGCACAAGGTTGTGGGCGTCGGCAGAGAGAAGCCGGCTGTTCCCTCTCCGGGCCCCTTTCCTCTTGACAGCAGATCTTTCTATAGGACCCAGATGGCGACTCTCGCTGTCCTGCCCTGCCTGCAGTATGTAAATTAGCTGCCATCTTTGTTGAGACGGCACTGGTGAGGTCGAGACGGCCCCGGTGAGGTTGAATCGGACCCGGTGAGGCTGAAAAGGCCCCAGTGAGGTTGAATCGGCCCTGGTGAGGCTGAAAAACCCTGGTGAGGCTGAAACAACCCTGATGAGGTTGAGACGGCCCCAGTGAGCTTGCAATGGCCCCGGTGAGGTTATATGCATGCATATGAAAATAACTAATGGACACAAGACACTGGTGTTGGGGTCCTGCCCCAGCAGGTCCAGGGGTTCCCAAAGGTGTGGACAGAGTCGGCGAAGAAGGAATGAATGACACAGAGGCAGCGTTCAGTTGATCAGCATGGTTGGGTACTCTTGCCTGGTTCTATCCAGGATCTCCAGCCAGGTTCTGTCTTTTATTGTCTTGTTACATCTGTATTTATGCCAGTTGATTTTAATCCTATCAATTTCTATTCCAAAGGTTAGGGCGTTTCTTATCTCCATTCCAGGGAGTAAAGATTATGTAGCATAAGCGTGATTGTTCCTAGTTAAAGTGATTAACTACCCGCCTGGCACTTAGTTAAGGGGTTTTATTCCCTCCCTAACTTCAGGGAAAAATCCCTACCTGGAGAAACAACCTTTCTCAGAGAGGTGACCTTGGTTAAAACACATAGCGCCAAGAAGGGGAGCAAACATATTAAGAACAGTTTGCCATATATGCCAGGTCCCTTGAAACATATGCTGTGCAGATGTTTCTTCCCTGCAGCGACTGTGTCAAGCAACAAGGATGGACTGGCTTCCAGCACACTGGGGGTGGGGAAAGCCGGGGGAATGTCAAGGGAGGGAAAAAAGGAGACATGTGTAATACTCTTTGTAATACTTTAAGAAATAAAATAAAATAAAAAAAAGAAATGCCTGCCACTCACACAAAAAATCAATAGTTGTAAAAAAAAAAAGAGTCCAGAAATGAAATATAATTTTGAAAGGCATTTGAGGGTCAGGGGAGCCTAGCTAAAGAATCTAAGTTCTCCTCGTCTCAGGACCCCTTGCTATTTTATTAACACAATTTGTCCTAATGCCGGGTAGAGATATACATTTCAAAGGGTAGGGGTAGGTACAGAATCCATTGTCAGATTGGAAGAATTTGCCTGCGGCTGTTCAGGTGTTTGGCCAGTAGAGGCAATAACATGTAGATTAAGATGCCCTGAGCTAACTGGCAGCAAGCAATCACCCCTTTTCAGGTTTGGGCAAATGCCTTTCGCCATTCCCAACAGGTGACAACATATGTGACTCAGCCTTTGTTGAGTCCCCAAGTTCCATCAACCTTTTGATGAAACTCTTGCAATTATGATGCTGGAACTGGCTTCCGGCAGGTTAACAGGTCGGCAGTGAGGAAGGGTGTCTGAGGCAGGCAGGACAGGCAGCGTGAGGAAGTGGGGCAGGCCCTCAAGACGTAGATCATTTCAATGCATGAACGCATGAGGTGGGCTATTGCCCAGCTTGCACAGAAACATTTTAAAGTGATGGACAAAACTATCCTCTTTCCATTTTTTCCCACCCTTTGGTGCCTGCTGCTGCTCACCTGTCAGCGAGCCCAATGGAAGATAAAAGCACGCAGATCCCTTTGTGAGACATCCCACCAGGGAGCTGGAGCATTTGTTCAGCCTGTCAAGTTCATCTTTCACGTTCAATTTAAATAAAAGGCAGAGATGTTAATGTTTTTCCTATTAAGACATCATTTCTCGTGCTCGCTTCAGCAGCACATATACTAAAATTGGAATGATACAGAGAAGATTAGCATGGCCCCTGAGCAAGGGTGACACACAAATTCGTGAAGCGTTCCATATTTAAAAAAAGACAACATCATTTCTCTTTAGAGTGCATGGTTATTTTTTCCTTCCTTGGCCTAGTCCTGCTTTATAGGTAACGTTAGTTTAGTGGTGGAAAGATTGAGGATTGGGGCTCAAAGGACCCTGAATCTCAATTCTACCACTTAACTAGATATGCTCTTTACCTTCAGTCTCCCTTAGCCTCAGTCCCTTCATCTCTATTGATGAGACTAATTATACTACACAGGTCTGTATTACCAAATACTCAGGGCTGTGGTGGGGATTAATAAGAAAATCCTAGCCAAATAACCTCGTATAATGCCTGACGCATATTAAGCACTCACTAAGTGGTATTCTTATTGTTAATAATTATTCTAGCTTATATGAGAAGTTAGAGATATGCACCTTTCACAGTGCTCTACAAATAGTACCATGTTTCTAGGGATTTTGATTGTGTCAGCCAGCATAGTCTAGGTCAGTGGTTCTCAACCTTCCTAATGCTGCGACCCTTTAATACAGTTTCTCATGTTGTGATGACCCCCAACCATAAAATTATTTT